ATTCAACCCATACCACAACCCACCTAGAAAAACCCACTCCATTCAACCCATACCACAGAACCCACCTAGAAAAACCCACTCCATTCAACCATACCACAGAAACCCACCTAGAAAAACCCACTCCATTCAACCCATACCACAGAACCCACCTAGAAAAACCCACTCCATTCAACCCATACCACAGAACCCACCTAGAAAAACCCACTCCATTCAACCCATACCACAGAACCCACCTAGAAAAACCCACTCCATTCAACCCATACCACAGAACCCACCTAGAAAAACCCACTCCATTCAACCCATACCACAGAACCCACCTAGAAAAACCCACTCCATTCAACCCATACCACAGAAACCCACCTAGAAAAACCCACTCCATTCAACCCATACCACAGAACCCACCTAGAAAAAACCCACTCCATTCAACCCATACCACAGAACCCACCTAGAAAAACCCACTCCATTCAACCCATACCACAGAACCCACCTAGAAAAACCCACTCCATTCAACCCATACCACAGAACCCACTTAGAAAAAACCCACTCCATTCAACCCATACCACAGAACCCACCTAGAAAAACCCACTCCATTCAACCCATACCACAGAACCCACCTAGAAAAACCCACTCCATTCAACCATACCACAGAACCCACCTAGAAAAACCCACTCCATTCAACCCATACCACAGAACCCACCTAGAAAAACCCACTCCATTCAACCCATACCACAGAACCCACCTAGAAAAACCCACTCCATTCAACCCATACCACAGAACCCACCTAGAAAAACCCACTCCATTCAACCCATACCACAGAACCCACCTAGAAAAACCCACTCCATTCAACCCATACCACAGAACCCACCTAGAAAAACCCACTCCATTCAAACCCATACCACAGAACCCACCTAGAAAAAAAATCACTACATTCAACCCAACCAGAAGAACCCACTCCACAGAACCCACAAATTAGAACCCACTTAGAAAATCCCCCCCAACTCCAAACCCACTCCGCAGAACCCACTCCACATAACCCACCCTCCTCCCTTGCAGAACTCGGTGCGCCACAACCTCTCGCTGAACAAGTGCTTCAAGAAGGTTCCCCGGACGAAGGACGACCCGGGCAAGGGTTCCTACTGGCCATGCGACGCCTCTTACACCGCCGAGGAAAGTCTCAGTAAGAAGAGGAAGCAGTCGTGTCCTAGGGTGAGTGTCGGGGGAGGGGGTGAGGGAGGGGAGGTAAGGAGGTGTGTGTGTGTGTGGATGTGTGTTGTGTGTGTGTGTGTGTGTTGTGTGTGTGTGTGTGTGTGTGTGTGTGTGTGTGTGTGTGTGTGTGTGTGTGTGTGTGTGTGTGTGTGTGTGTGTGTTGTGTGTGTGTGTGTGTGTGTGTGTTGTGTGTGTGTGTTTTATGGGGGGAGGGTTGTAAGGGTGAGAGGGTTTCGGGTGAAGGTGAGTTAGGGGTTTTAGGGTTTTAGTGTGAGTTTTGGGGCATTCTCGCACGGTGAAGGGAGAATATTTTAAAAGATTAAGTTATTTTTATTTTTTTTTTTTTACTTTATATTTTATTATTATTATCTTTTTTTCTTCTTTTTTTTTTCTGTGCTTGAACACTTTATTATGAAATGCGTATAATTCATGGCAAGCACAAACAAAAAAAGCCAAGACTGAAATAACTGTGTATGCTTCATATTCTCTTAATTTTCCTTCTCATTTCGACATGTTTCTTTCACTAGCAATTTTTTTTCTCTCTCCCGCAGTTCAACCCGTACCTGACGTTCTGCAACAGCAACAGCAACAGTAACGACTCGCTGACGTTGGGCGGAAAGGCAGCCTCCGTCCCCCGCGACGTCGGTGAGCGTCTCGACGGCGGCGGCAGGCGGCGATGGCAGCGGCGGCGGCGGCGGCAGCGGACCGCGGCGGAGAGATCCTGCACCGGAGGACCAACACGGCGCTGCTCAGCCCCTGGAACAACTCGCTCGACTCGTGGACTCAGTCGCAGAGATCTGGAATTCGGGATCTGAAGGTGAGGACGGGGGCGGGAGGGAGGGAGGGAGGGAAAGAGAGAGGGAGGGAGGGAGGGAGGGAAGAGAGAGGGAGGTAGGGAGGGAGGGAGGGAGGGAAGAGAGAGGGAGGGAGGGGAGAGGGAGGGAGGGAGGGAAGAGAGAGGGAGGTAGGGAGGGAAGAGAGAGGGAGGCAAGACAGTGGGAGGGAGGGGGGGAGGGAGGGAGGCAAGACAGTGGGAGGGAGGGAGGGAGGGAGGGAAGGAGGAGGGAAGAGAGAGGGAGGGGGGAGGGAGAGAGAGGGAGGGAGGGAGGGTGTAGGGAAGAGAGAGGGAGGTAGGGAGGGAAGAGAGAGGAGGTAGGAGGGAAGAGAGAAGGAGGGAGGGAGGAGAGTAAGAGAGAGGGAGGGAGGGAGGAGGGAGACTGAGGGTTGGGATGGTTGAAGAAAGGGATAAAGAGATAGCTAGAGTGTAAGCTGTGAGTGCAAAAAATCAAAATCAAAAGGGTAGAAAGTTCGAAGGTAAAATAAGGTAAGCAACGAGAACCGCAGCCACATACTGAGGATCTTGTCTCGCCAGGGCTGGTGCTTGACGGGCGGCCCAACGCCGCGGTGGCCGTGAACGTGACCGGGGCGAACACGGGCGTGGTGGGCGCGGGCGACGGCGACGTGCTGTGGCGGGACCCGTTGACGGCATCACCATGAAGGACTGCGACCTCAACCTGCTCAACAACCTCACGCCGGAGCTCCTGCGGGAGTACGCCGACTTCCTCACCACGACGGCCAACTCGGCACGCCCGCGAAACTGCGTGGGCCAGCCGTGCGGGCCGCACGCCACGCCCGTCAACGGCGCCGTCAATGGCCTCCGCGGCGTCGCCCTGGACCCCGGCCCCGTCCCGCTGCCGCCCACGTCCGGAGAGACCATCGAGACGCTGGTGGCGGACCCGCTGCTGGTGTCGAACGCCGTGCCGCCCGACGACGTCCTCCGCTCGCCGCAGCAGGTGAGCAGCCCCGCCGAGCTCTCCCTGGACGGAAGCTTCAACCTGGGCGTGCAGGAGGAGTGCGGGAGCGCGACGCCCCGCCGTGTCCACATCAGCGAGTCGGTGAGCGCCGCCGGCCACGGCTCGGGCGGCACCGTCACCATCATGAGGAGGGAGCCCGCCCCGCTGAGCCGCGGACGCTCTCCGAGCCCCTGGCGCGGCTCCTGGCGCCCCTCACGCCCCCGGGCCAGTCGAGGGCGGCGCTCGAGGCGGAGGGCCCGCGGACGACGACGGGCTGGAGGGGCGCTGGTGCGAGGCCTGGCGGAGGACATGGAGGCCATCCAGGTGGGCCTCATCACGGGCTCCGGCGTCCACTCCGACGACGAGGAAATCACCGACGATTTCAACTGGGATAAGCTGCTCTAGCCCGAGCGGGCGCTCCCGCCCGCGGACACACACTTGCGTAATAAATATGTATACATACATACATACATACACACACACACACACACCACACACAACACACACACACCACACACACATATATATTATATATATTATATATATATATATATATATATATATATATATATTATATTAATATGTATATATACATACACACACACATATATATGTATATATATACATATATATGCGGACACATACTGTATATATGTGCATGTGATCGAAATGAGGGGCATAATTACTTAATAACTGCGGCAACGCAAACATTTGAAGCGACCGATTTTGTACATAGAAAACCTTTGAACATACAGCATAATCATCAACTATTAGTCTGAGCGCTAATTCAGCAATGCTAAAAGTAAATCAGATTTTATCTCGGTTATTAAATATTTCAATTTGACAAAAAAAAAAAAAAATAATATTATCGTTAATACGCTCTAAGTATTCAACGATTAGCAATAGTATAATTTTCTACTGTACATATTAGACCGCCACCTGTACATACCGATGGGATGTTTAAACAAGTAATGTGTTCATACAAGAAATCACGAAAGTTATATATTTATATAAATAAAGTTGACATAAAGCACTTTGCAATAAGCGTGTTAGTTTATACTGTAATTAGTCGTTTTGTATAGTTCTACAGACCGCGAAGATAGAAACTTGGGAGGAAGACTTTGTAATTGAAGACCGGCATGGAAAAAAATGCCGCTTCTTTGTTTAGCCCGAAAAGGGTTTTTGATTAAGTCTTGTCGTGTGCCTAATATCCCTTTGTCTTTAATAGCAGACCCTTACTGGGGATGGTCTGTTTCATCGACTCAAAACTCGAGGCGAGTCCAATGTTAACCGTGTCTCATCGTGATAAACTCTTCGAAAAAGACTTGTCTCGAACTGCCTGATTCTGCGGTTCGAAAAAAGAAAATATAGGTGAACAACTTTGATGTTTTCTCCACTCCACCGATGACGTCACGATTCGTAGATGGGTTTCACAACAGTATTATTTGTGTTTAGGTGTAGTAGCATGTGGCCCAGGCGTTGTGTTTCTCTGTGTATTCAACAAAAGAATAAACTAGTTTTCACGCGTGTTCAAAATGTATTATGGATAGCGAGCAGTTCACACTCATCCACCACAGTCGCTGTTAAGATCCCGCAATTCTTTATAGAAATAAAAGTAAGCGTGTGACGACACATTTTCTTTAGTGACGTGACGTATCGTGTGGAGTTGAGGGGGAACTTTGCTAAATCATGTTCTGCCAAGACGGATCGAAATCACATTAGCGAATACACATAAATGTATTATTTATTGTACAGTATTTACAAGTGCAGGGAAAGTTTGGCATAGACTTGGAAAATCATGTTAGGTGAAAGCAAACTTAAGGAGGAACGGTGTTTATTTTTTTACTTTGAAACTCAATGAGCTCCAAGAAAACTGAATTTCCTTTTTTTTCTGAATCTTCGGAGTCGCCCCGAAGAATTCTAGCCATAGAATACAATGCCTGCAAACAGTGGCGTATCCAGTCGAGGAATAAGGGGTTGTACTTCCCTCTTCAAGATTTGTAAATTTAATGCTCAATATTTCACGACTGACTTTCTGAAGTGATAAGTAGAACACAAAACCAAACATTCCATCAAGAGAGGCGTGCTAAACACCCATTATTTTGCATCTCAGCCCCTCCTCATCCTCAGCCTCCTGGTCACACCCCTGCCTATAGACAAAAGGGTCAGTGCTTCACCAGTGTAAGTGTAAAGGAGCATTTCTTTTTATCATTCTGCGACAATAAACGGCAATGAACATCACCATTGACCTTTGTCAAGAAAAGGATAGAAAGGAAAGAGAAAGACAAACGGTTAATGGTTAAAAACAAACGAATGTGCTAGACATCAAGGCCATATTGCACTATAGATACACTAGAAAAAGAAG